CATGTGCTCTGCCCCCAGGCCCTCGCAGCTGCAGGCAGGTAAGAGAGAGTGTGTGTGCATGTGTGTATGCGCACGTGGCGCTGGGGCTGGGGCTGCAGCAGGGCAGGGAGATGGGGAAAGGAGGTGGGGGGTAGGGGGCTGTGGGTTGAGAGTGAAGAGTGTCAGTAGGGACAGGGGTGCTGCAGGTTGGGGCACCAGCATGGTCTGGGGGGCAGGATACTGTAAGTCAACAGTACAGGGGCAGCAATAGGGCTGTAGGGGCTGTGGCTTGGGAATGAGGGGCAGAGGGCAGGGCACGAGCATATCACTGCCCCCCCCCCCTTCATTCTGCTGTTTTCTTCTGGGTTGTGTGTCAAACTGCAGGAATCAGAGTGTGGGTGTAGAGGAAATGCATTTTTTTAAATGTCACTGCAAAACGACAACATTTATCAAAGTGTTAAGATGCATCACCTGAACTGCTTTTACCTTACACTTTCAATTTCATTGAATTTGGTGTTGTGGCATAGACTAGAAGCCTTGTGCCCTGGCACTGTTTTCCTAAACCTTCAGCAAAACTTGGACTTAAAAAGACCTCAGCTGCTATCAGGCATCTTTCCCTTGCCCTCCCTTTTCCCACCCTCCAACCCTTTCTCTCCACTCCTTCCGCTTGGTTTAATTAAGTCCCAGCTTCTAGCAAAAGATAGTATTCCTCAAAAGTATTATCACTGCTTGGCTCCACCACCTTATCCCACTGGAGGAACAAGTAGTAAGTTTCTGCTACTAGCATGTAATAGCAGATAAAACTATCATCCTAAAACTCTATGAGATGTAAAATAGTGAATTACTTAAAACTCCTTGGGTTAGATTCATTTAGGGAAATGAAATGCAGAATAAAAAAACACTGGTAAATGAAAATGAGTACCTGTATGTTTGTATCTACACAGTACAGTACTTTGAAAAGTCTCTTAATAAATTCTTACCTAAACTCTCAGCAGCAAAGATTTTTTTTAATCAGTCCAAATACGTAAACCTAAAAAAGGAGTAAAATTCCTCAGCTTTTTAAGCTGTAATCAAATAGGCCTGGGTAAAGTTTAAAGTATTTTTTTAACATAATATTTTTGCTGCATTACTTAAACTGCACAGTTAAAATGTTAAGCCAGGAAATATAACTAATGATCTCTAGACTTTTAACTGTAAGCTTTTAATACTTCAACAATGGGACAGTGGTAGAAGAAAGAACCCTCTAGCTTTTGAAATGTCAGTGTTTAAATGATTCCATTGAGGCTGCTCACTGATGATTAGGGTTAAGGGAGTCAGCTTTGTTTGTTGCCTCATAATAGTTGTCTATAAGGTTGACTTTTAAAGGATCACCAAAAATAAATAATAACAAAATGTGTGTGTCATACTTTGCATCATTGATGTATATTACAGCAATGAAGGCTTTACAGTGCAGGAAATGTCTTGCCAAGCATTTTGCCTGCTTGCTTTATCCTGTAGCAATATCAGGAATACTAATGGTCTTCCTTCCCCCATTCCCCCCTCTTTTTTTTCCCTCCTGGTTGTTTTTGTTGGAGATAATTTTGGGAAGTGTGAATGTGAATTGTAACCTCTTGCACATTAACTGAAGGAAGTAAAGGATGTCAAATCTTAGCCACTGACTTCCTTTCTCTATGTGTTTAATTAGGCATTTATGTGATCATGATAAACTAGTTCAATGGAAATCTCTTCCTTTCTTAATTGCTTACTTGTAGAGTTTTGTGATGCCATAATTTCATTTTGATTTCAAAGACCATAATCTTCCAAGGTTCACATCTAGAATTCATAGAAAAGCCTTGTACTCCTGGATAAACTCCAACTTTCTTTATGACACAAAGTAAATAAAAAAGCATGGCTAGCATGCAACTTTTGTTGTGATGACAAGCTAGCTTTTATTTAAAAACAAGAATGAGTATGCAGCACGGATGGATAGTCGCATTAAAGTAATAGAATTAAAAGTTACCATGCCAATCACCATATCAATTTTCACTTGTTCCAATCCTCAAGACATTAGTTTCTGAAGGATCTTCCTGTGTGTAGATTCATTTGGATGCTTGTCTTCTGCTTTTACAATTATCAGAGTCCTGTGTCTGGAGAACCGTGCACCCAACAGAAATTGTGTTTTTGGGGCCATGAAAGAGGCGTGGCTGCATAACGTTAGCATTTAAAAAATGGCCATTGGATGTACTTTCAAGAAACTTTCAAATGTTTATATGCTTCTCTTTGAATAGATCAAGAAGGTACACATCAATGAGGAGAAGAGAGTAAAATATTCATCAACTGGGGAATTGTGTAGTGAGAACAATGTGTGGTTGCCATCTCTGTTTTCTCAAAATGCAGATGGCTGAAGGGATTTCTTATACCTAACCCCCCCACCCCCCACCCCTAAAAAATGGAAAGAAAAAAGGAAATGCCTTTAGTTAGAGATGTGAAGTTTCAGCCAAAAAGCTATGAAGTTGTAGGATATGTACAATTCTGAGGTACACGCACCTATCTACATCAGAATGTTAAAAGTAAAAATGGGATGCTAGGATGTGCATAGGTTTATAGTATTCTAATATTCAAGCTCTGACCTTGTGCTTTAAAGATCACTTTACTCATGTAGCTCATGTGGTTTGTTGTCATCTTTGTATTTGGGTTAGATATCCAGGTTAAGAACTTAAGTCCCTTAAGCTCCTTCTCAATGTACAGGTAAAAGCTCAATGGGATCTAATGCGCAATCCACACAGTCACACCTCCTGCTGTGCCATATGCATGGCAGGATTTAGCATTGTGGGATTGCACATTAGATCCCATCACGCTTTGTTGCTGGTGCAGGAAGAAGCTCCTGCAGCTGGGAGCCCTTGCAGCTCCCATGAGCCCCTGTGCAGCTGCCACAATCTCCCATTCTGAGGGGCAACTGAAGCCCTGGAGGCTGGGATATCACTGCAGCCGCAGTCTTCCAACCCTGGGCGTTTCACCCATCCCTAAGGCTGGGAGATCATGGCAGCTGTGATCTTCCTACCGTGGTGCTGGAAGACTGTGTCGGCTGTAATCTCTCAGTCCTGGGGACATCTGGGGCTAGGAGATCACAGCCTCCCCCTGGGTCCTAGCATGGGAGGTACATTGCCAGGACCCAGCATCTGCAGCTGCTGGAGCTGAGAGTTCCCCTAGTTGCAAGAATCCCAGCCTTGGCTGAGGGGACCAGGCTGCCACTGGGAAGACCCTGCTACAAATTCAAATTAAAGCTTAGTGGCAACCAGCTATAAAGGTATTAAACATTTTTGAGGTCTAACTTTATAGCTGGTTGGAGCTTTTTATGGCGTGATAAGTACTTTGCATGTGTAGCCAGTTTCCAGATAATTGTGCAGTTAACCAGTTAATTGCATGATACCTGTAATGTGTAAACAGGGCCTTATAATTGTCTTGTGGATAAAAGATGGAGTGTAAGTGTGTAAAATAAAAATATGTTCAAGCAGAAGGTACAACAGAAAACTTCTCTTCTTGTACAGCTCTGCCTGTACTTTTAAGAATGGGACAGGTGCCTCTCAGCAAGCTGCTGTATCACTTCCGCACATCTGTCCCAATTTCAAACCTTGTTAGAACACCTCCAAAGGAAGATGCAGATTATCATGAGTTTGGGAAGGGTGACATATAAATTGAATGACCAAATAAATAAATAAGCCATTAAATGTTTACTGCCCAGGACACACAAACAATTTCAAGTTTATTTTTATGAAACTCGGATTAGGGGGAAAAAACAACGCCTTGTCTCTTCCTTAATTTTCTAAGTAATATCATTCATTTTAGACCTGAAAAATAGTTAAAGAACCCAAGTTAGAAACAAGATCCAAATTAACTATATGAATAAATGTAGGGAATTCAACACTGAATTTATATAATTTGAAATATGTGAACTAGTGTTTGTTTTTTTTTTCATGTGAGAAAATAGGAAAAAATAGTTATTTAACTTCCATTTGTATAATGTATGTACTACATTAAAAATAAACTTGAAATACATACCATTTCCCTGAATTAATTTGTGAGCTGATGTAATTTTAAAAAGTTACTCCCTATTTCATTGGAGGTGAACTAAAGGATATATTATCACGAGAATTGGTGCATTAGAAGTATAATATTTTAAGTATAATTTTAAGTATAAAATATTGTACTATGTATATAATATAAAATAACAAGAAACAAAACATCTTTGTCAAATGAGAGGTATGTGTATATGTGTGCGCATACGCATATACACACACACACACACGCTGCCTTGATCTTTGCTGTATTTTAAATACAGGAGACAATTTTTAAGACTTTTAATCTTACCAAATAGTGTGATTTACATTGGGTTCAACAAAAAGAAAACAAAATAATTCCTCTCTCCCTTCCTGGCTTCAAATTTATATATAGGAGTGTGCATATATTGTGAGTACACTATATAAACACATTCTTGTTTATAAGGCCATGTCAGAAGTTACAGAAAAGTAAATCGTAACTTGCATTTTCTTTTGCTGTCATGATCATATTCATTCTTCCCAGGGTGACCTTTCCTTTGATTTAATAGATTCCATTGTTGTAAACTTTTTTCTTTCTCTCCGAGTAATGTAGTTGTAGTGAATCCTTAAGCAATGCATTTTCCAGAATATTTGCAAATGTTGTTAAGAAAAGTAATTCCATCTCCACACACTTGTATTTCATGTGCTGAAGAAAGGCTTAGACTGCTTTTGATTGAGATTTTTCCCATTTTATTGAGCAGTGGTGTTCTAGGATCAAGCTGAATTGCACAGCATAAGAAAGGAGCAGTGAACATTTGATGGAAGCAGATAATAAAATGCATCAATTGTGTCAGCACCTCATTGCAGTCACATCTGGCTTACTGTCAGGGTCCCATTAGATTCCTGTGGTTTTATGTACCAAAAATAATATGCTCTGTAGTTAATGGAACTACGATATTTGCAGTTTGATTTTAAAAAAATCATCTTATTTTCTATCAGATCTTTTGTTGGGCTTAAGTTCTATCTGAGCATAGCCTTGTCACTTTAAAATTTATGACTGAGAGATCAATTGTTCTTTTGATCTGTTTCTCTTTCTTTTTTTTCCTTATTACAGTGAATCCAGTAGCCTGAGCAGCAGTGATGCTGGTTTGTTTACCAATGATGAGGGAAGACAAGGTAGTGATGTATTTTTTTTTTCCTCCAACTTATCAGTCTAAATTCTATAAGAATTGCAAGTTAGTAGGTTGATGACTGTTCCAGTTGTTTTAATGTTCTTCCTTACAAGTTGAGGGTATAACTTACTTCTTCATTCTTAAATATTATAGAATGGTGTTCTATCTCCATGACCTAAAATCATTAAATCCTGTGTTTATCTCTGAAAGCTTGTATATAAAGCTCATATTAGGTAGTTTTTTGAGCAATTTGCATTATCCTTTGTATTAAAATAAATACATTCAAGACAAATATGGGAAAAGTACAAAAGTAACTAAATTTATCTAAATTTCATTGACTGAAAACTTATTCTCTGAAAAAAGTCATTGAGGTCAGTGTCTCTTTGCCAACCCAGAATTATAAAATGTGAAAAACCAGTGTTATGTAGAGGGTTTCCCTTCCTGCAGTGCATTACTTATACATCTGAAATTTACTTTTTTATGGACAGCATGATCAGGTCTGTATTTTTTTTGGTGTGAAGACTTAAACTTTTCACAGTGGTTTGTACTATATCCTTGCAATCCTCTGCAGAAATTACTTGTTTCATTTTCTTTTCCCAGTTTTATTTCTGTAAAGGTACACTATGTTCCTGTTTTGTTTTTTAATCAAAGAAATCTGATTATCTAGCAATTTCCTGGACCCACCTGCTAATGGTCCTGCATTATGGTTATGGTTTTGTAAATATCTGCCCTGTGCAATAAAAGGTATTTGTGTTTCAACATATATTTTTATGTAACTGATACAAAAAAGCACCTACTTTTTCTAACTGATATTTATAGTCCTGTATGTTTTTGATGAGTAAATGGCAACTTTAATAATATAATGTTACTTTTTTCAATCTGTATTGGTTTGGTTTGATCTTTTTGTTTTGTTTTGGGAAATTACAGTTGTAAAGAGAGATAACTAACATTCGGAAGACTACATTTCTATTTTGTAAGAGCTGTAGTTTTTCTTATTTTCTATTTCAGTTTGATTCTTGAAAAATTGTATCAATCATTTGTACCTGTTCTCTGTGTGTGTTTCTAGTAGAATATCTTGGTTTTAAAATTGGATTCTTAAAAAATAGTTAAAATTATTTATTGTTCTTTTGCATAGAAAAGGTGAGCCAGAAGTTTGCTATTTTTTACCTTATATTTTGTGAATTAATTATTTTGGTGATTTACTTATTTATTTTTTATTTTATTTATTTAATTTTTACTCTGAATCTAATTTAATGTCATGATGTCTTTTAGTTCGGGAGAATGTTATTGTTTCCATTTTAGACTCATTTAAATTTGCTAATGATTGATATTTCTAAGTCTCCTGTTAGTGTCAAAGTTATTGTTCTGTGTTCTTTAACTTTTTGTTTTAGGTAACTTTGAACTGATGTTTAAAATTTTGGAAGCAGACAATAAAACATTGTCTATATAAAACGTAACTATTAAGAATGTCCCTTACTTACAATGCTGTAGCACTTAGGAGCTGTAGGTATTGCCCTTTTTTGCTAAAGAAAAAAACACTGTTTCTATTCCAAAGAGATTATACTGTAAATATTGACAAGAGACGAGCTGTATACAGGCAGATGGGGAATTGCAAGGAAACAGTGCTGGCTGTCTCAGCAAATCAGCAGTCTAACAATTGTCAGGCCTTTTATAAGTACCAAGGAGAAGAAAAATTTTAAGGAGGAATTTGGAGAAATATACTGAGCTTTGAAGGTGCTTTGGGGGAGCTCCTTTCATACCTGAGGGGAAATGGGAGGAAAAAGTACAAAGGCACTTGTTGAAAATCAGCATGTTATTATGCATCAACTGAAGGCAGGAGTCAACATATCTAAGACTAGAAATAGATGTCACCAAATGAAATGGATCAGCTCTGCTGCACTGTGTCAAAGCACACAGATCATCCTCTACACTGGGCAAAACACACATTACCCCTTGTCCCTGTCCCCACCCCCTTTTGATGGTGTGAGATGAGGCAATATGACCTCCTCACTTTTCCCACCTAGCCAGACTCAGAAAAATGTGGTTTTCCCCACTGAGCCAGACCCTCTTCCTTGTGTTGGCAGAGAAATGAGTCTGACTGGCCAAGGAAAAGCCCCACTTCCCCACTCAGCCATGACTGGATGGAGAAGAACTTCATCCTGCCCTGCCAGACCTGGGCCACAGGTCTGGCTGAGCAGGGGAAGCACCACAGAGGTAACAGAAATCTGCCAAAATAAAGCAACAGATTCTCTTACCACCTTTATTGTGCCACTGATTTTCCTTTCATGTGGCACAACAATGGGTTTCAGCATCTAATTCAGGGGTGGGCAAAATATGGCCTGTGGGCCAGAACTAGCCCTCCATGTGGCCCTGGCCCAAGTGCAGGGGGCAGCCTGGGCCATGGTGCATGTGGCCAGTTCCACCACTCCTGAGCATGTGGTAGGGCAGGGGCAGTGTGACATGGTGCCTAGACTCTACTTCTCAGCAGCCCCAGCAACAGCTCCTTCTGGCTGCTGCCAGACCTGGCTCCACTGCCCAGGCAACCCTGGCCCGTCTGCCCTGCATCCACCGCCGTGGGTGCTGGACAGAGTAGGTGGGCAAGGTGTCCATGGAGACCAGCTGGTATCCTCACAGGTGGGCAGGGTATGGTGTCTGGGAGTGGGGTAGATGGGGGCTGGGATCATGGCGTGGTGAGAACGCAGAGCCAGAACACAGTCCACAATCCATACCCCACACATCCCTGCCATGTGGGAAGCAGATAGCACCTCTGCCCTTCACACTATCCCGTGATCCTGCGTTCAGCCCCAACTCCCAGACGCAGATTCCCCTCGCACCCACAGCCCCATTTGATTCACCCAGCAGAGTATGCCCTGCCAAAAGGGTCCTTGCCGGTCATTGGAGACCCTGCTCCATCTGGCACCCCTGCCGGTGAGTGTGGGGTGGATGGGCTTGGGCCGGATAGTATCAATTGCCCCCCCTCAACACTGCATATGCCCAAGTCAGCACCCTTCCCTACCTGACTTTGTCCTGGGCTGGGTCACCATCCCTCCCTCACCCCCCCCTGCTCCCCCCCTCCCCCGCAGCCTGCAATAGCTCACCCAAATTCCTAAAGTGCCCCTCCAACCAAAATAATTGACCACCTCTGGTCTATTTGCTTAGCATTTGTAACAAATGAGACGGACAACGTCTGTTTCCACCCTAAGTGGAAAAGAGAAGGCGGCAAAAATAGGGATTTCCAGCACAGGATATGATTTTCAATAATACTATTAAAAAGGAAATATATCAACAGAAAGGAGTAAGAGCAGCTGGAGCACATACATTTCTGGAGAGAAGGACTTGGAATTTTAGCTGTTAACCCAGACTTTAGCACTGAGTTTGCCCAGTAAAAATTAGAATATGATGTACTTACTATTAGTAAAATATACTTTTGAAAAAACTAAAACACAGAGATCAGTTCACTCTTAAGAAGAAAGCCTTTTAGCACTGGGGAAAACCTATTTTGTTTTTGTAATGTTCACTAAACTTCTTACATTGCCCAAATATGTTCTTTTTGGGGCAATGCTTCTCTGGTCAGCACATGCAAAAAAAAAAAAAAGTGAAAAAAGCTTTGGGTAGAAAATAAATCATTCAAAATTAGGAAATGCCAGAATTAAAGGTGCCCGTGCACCCTCTATTGAGTCATTTGCAAGCCTCCATTGATAGTCATTAATTGCATTACCACAGTCCTTAATTATATTATCACACATTATCTCTTTCTACAGAATGCCTGCCTCTTTCAGTGTGTAAAGGAGAGCGTTCACCAAATGAGTAGATAGTCCTGTTTCATTTTACCTTCCTTTAAAAGGTGATCATATTCTTGTTCCAACTCTTTTGAATACAGAATTTACAGAATGTCATGGCTTTCTTAGGTAGTCACCTCTAAAAGTAACTGAGTGCTTAAAGATCTAATGTTTTGATCTTCATAACCATCTGTGAGGTTGCACAGCTATTAAGGTATGGACTGCCTACCAGTCTTTGTTGTAAACTTTGAAATGCCTATGAACTGATTTCTCCTTCTCTGGTCACATTTGGCAGTCTGACTATAACATGTGTTCACAACAGAATTTCTGTTGATTTCATTTGCAATTACGTTGTTTTCAATTCTGGCCCCAACTACCTCAAGTAGAACACACGTCTTCTCCTGTGAACATGATCGAAGTGATTTGCCCAGTATCACATACGAACTGTTAGAGGGAGGGATAGAATTCAGTCCTAAAGGTTGGCCCTCAATTGCTTAGGTCATCCTTTCCATCCCTCTCCTTCTCTGCTTTATTTACTATGTGTGCCTCAATTTCTGCAACAAATAGGCCAGGTTATTCCAGGAAATGGGCTCTATTTGCTACACAGACACCCTGAGCAACAGCTAGCCTTTGGAATGAGGCAGAGGCTGTCCTGGAAAAAACAGTATATCATCTCGCAATGAAAGACTCATAAAGCATATATGCAAGTGACCTTAATACGAGCCATCCTTAGGGCTGTCTGCAGCATAGAACTCTGCCATGTGATCTCACACAGCAACTTATAGTAATGCTGTGCTGTATCTTGAGGAAGTTGGCACTAAATGGAGATGAAACTATACTTTGCCAGTAGGTTTTCTTATTCAGACCCATGAATCATGGATACAGTTCTGGAGTGTATATGCTATCTTTGTTACAGATCTTTCTACCCTTGGCTGCACTACTTCCTTACTTGGACTTCTTTTGATTTCCCCAAGCTCTTAATCCATTTATACTACAGTAAGGCTGCTCCTTCTTCAGATTGGCTAAGTAATTCTACAGTGGGCAAGTAAGGAATATAGCATTAGAACACAATGTTAATAAATCTGTAAGTAACGTTTATAATACAACACAACAGATATGCAAACTTCATTGTTTTAGATAAGTTACCTAAGTACTTATAGACCCCTGGAAGCACTCTGAAACATCATCTTTTGGTAAAGCTAAACCTGAGTAGCTAAAACAAAGT